ATCCCCTCCCGAGCTCCGCCGCCGCTTACACAACCCCAGGATCGGGGCGAAAACCCGCGGAAACGGGCAAAAAACCCTCCCCGGGGGCTGCTCCGCGTTCCCGCAGCCGGGAAAGGGGCTGGGAGCAGGAGGGGGCTCCCCTACCCCACCCCCGAGCTCCGCTTTAGCCAAAAAAGGAGGTTTTTTGGGGTGAAAGGAGCCCCGGGGAGGGGACACCGGGGGGGGGTTCGGGGGTTTTATCGCTGGGTTTGGTGGAACTCGCGCGGTTTTGACGCTTTTCCCGGGTTTTTTTCCCTTCCCGCAGCACCACGGGAGAGAAGCGGCGGCCGAGGTGTGGCCGGGCCCGGCCCTCGCCCCGCGGCACCTGCCGGGGCTCCCCCGCCCCGAAACGGGGTGAAAACAGCACATTTCGGGCCACTTCACCCCGGACACGTACGTGTGGGGGGGGCAAAGGGTCTTCTCTGTCCCCCCACTTCCCTGGGGGACCCCCAAAACACGGATCTGGGGGGTGGCAGAGCTCAGAGACTCCCCCTCACCCCTCATTTTGGGGACAGTTTGTGGGGTTTTGGGTCACAACCCCCAGGTTTGGGCTGTTCCCCCCCCTCCTCCACCCCCCTCAAAAAGGGCGACACAACCCCCCGAGTTTTGGGGTTTGGGGTGACACAAACCCCCCCGAGTTCGGCCCCATTTTGGGGGGGCTGCTCCACCCCCACCCCAGTCACTGCTCTGTCGCTGCTTGGTGGCCCTGATTAGCATCTAATTAACGTGCCCCATGCTTAATTAACCTGTGCCACACTTAATTAGTCACCCCCCAGGGTGAGGAAGTCCTGGGGCATTGAACCCGGGGCTGAGCCTGGGGCGCGGCCCGGCCACGCCTCGACCTGCACGACCAGTTCTGGGGACACTTTCCCCTATTTTGGGGCACTTTCCCCAGTTCTGGGGGCACTTTCCCCCGTTTTGGGGCACTTTCCCCCATTTTGGGGCTCTTTCCCCGGTTTTAGGGCACTTTCCCCTGTTTTGGGGCACTTTCCCCTATTTTGGGGCACTTTCCCCCGTTTTGGGGCTCTTTCCCCTGTTTTGGGTCACTTTCCCCTCATTTCCTCCAAGTTTGGGGCTGTCCCGTGTCAGAACTGGAGGTTTTTATCCCCCCGGGACCATTTTGGGGTTAAACCCCAAGATTTTGGGGGCCCCTGCGGGTGATGAGCCCTGAGCAGCTGCGCTGGGGGCCCGGCCAGAGCTTCCCAGCCTCTGGAATTCCTTGGCATTCCCACTTTTTCCCCCGTGCTCAGCTCATCCCAATCACCCGGATCAACCCCAGCCCGGCGGAGCTCAGGCGGGGCCCCAAATTTGGGGGAATTCTGCCATTTCTGGGCACTCCCCAGTCCCAGTTTTTCCCTGTTTTTCCCCCAGGATGGTGGAGGAACCCAGTTTTTCCCAGTTTTCCCCCCAGGATGGCAGAGGAGACCAGTTTTTCCCAGTTTTCCCCAGTTTTTCCCTGTTTCCCCTGTTTCCCCAGTTTTCCCCAGTTTTCCCCAGTTTTTCCCTGTTTCCCCCCAGGATGGCGGAGGATCCCATCGTGCCCATGTACTGCACGGGGGTGTCACTGTGTCCCCTGTCCCCAGTCCCAGTTTTTCCCCGTTTTTCCCAGTTTTTCCCTGTTTTTTCCCCCCAGGATGTCAGAGGATCCCATCGTGCCCGTGTACTGCCCGGGGGTGTCACTGTGTCCCCGATCCCTGTCCCCAGTCCCAGTTTTTCCCCGTTTTTCCCAGTTTTTCCCTGTTTTTCCCCCCAGGATGGCAGAGGATCCCATCGTGCCCGTGTACTGCACGGGTGTCTCGGCGCAGGTTCAGCGTGCCCGTGCCAAGGAGCAGGGGCTGGGCCGGCACGACCGCGCCGTGAGGTACCTGGGGCAGGATTTCGGGGCCTTGGCCGAGCAGTGCCGCAGCTCCGGGACCCTTTTCCGGGATCCCACGTTCCCGGCGGGACCCTCGGCCCTGGGGTTCAAGGAGCTGGGCCCCGGCAGCTCCAAGACCCGCGGGGTGCAGTGGATGAGGCCCACGGTGAGCGGGACTCGGGGGGGAAAGGGGGGGCAGCCCGGGCTGGGGGAGCTTCTGGGGCGGTTTGGGGGGGTTTGGTGGGGTTTGGGGGCATTTTAGGGAAATTTGGGGGGGTTTTGGGGTGGTTTGGTGAATGTGGGTGAGGTGTTGGTGCATTTTGGGGAGGTTTGGTGGGGTTTTGGGGTGGTTTCGTGGGGTTTTGGGGTGGTTTGGTGAATGTGGGAGAGGTTTTGGGGAGGTTTGGTGGGGGTTTGGGGTGGTTTGGTGGATTTGGATGAGGTTTCGGTGCAACTTGGGGAGTTTTGGTGTGGTTTTGGGGCGGTTTGGTGAATGTGGGTGAGGTTTGGCTGTGCCCCCGCAGGAGCTGTGCCCGCGCCCGCAGTTCATCGTGGACGGGGCCACTCGCACCGACATCTGCCAGGGAGCTCTGGGTACGGAGCATGGCCCCAAATCCTGCTTTCCTGCCCCAAATCCTGCTTTCCTGCCCCAA